TTCCCTTGGGTTTTCACGGTAGCCGACTTAGATCTGGCAATACTGGGGATGGACTTTCTAGAGAGATACGAATTTCTAGTTGACACCAAGAAACGGCGATTAACACTAAAAGAAACTTCGTATTACACAAAAGGCAAAGAAAGTCACATCAGCTCTCTTAACTTGATTCAAACTCCTCCAGTAACAACAGCGAAATTCCAAGATATACTCGCGGAATTTCCAAACTTAACTAAACCAAACTCACAGCCTTCCAAAGACAAACTAAAAGTAAGTCACACTATCAAAACCGAAGGTGCACCGGTTTTTGCAAAACCCAGGAGACTAGCACCAGATAAGCTCAAAATCGCTAGGGCCGAGTTTGATTATATGCTACAACTGGGTATTATCCGTCCCTCTGATAGTCAATGGGCATCCCCTTAGCATGTGGTCCCAAAGAAGAATGAAGGTGACTGGCGACCGTGCGGGGATTACAGAGCCCTAAACCGTCAAACCGTACCAGATAGGTACCCAATACCGCATATCCAAGATTTCACAAACGGTTTACAGGGTATGAACATATTCACTAAAATTGACTTAGTCAGGGCATATCACAATATCCCAGTGGCTGATGAAGATATTCCCAAGACAGCTATTAGAACACCCTTTGGCTTATTCGAGTTTGTACGCATGCTATTCGGCCTCAGATATTCTTGTTCCACATTCTCACACTTTCTCTTGAAAGCACGCAGCAAACCGTCAGCGATATTTGTAGAAGAAATCACATGCTACAAAATAAGATGACAAGCTAGTAATTGAAGAGACATCCATGGACTATCGTTGACAGCGTCAGTCGTCACTGATTGTAAGTCAAACAGTGAGCGAGTTGATAATTCTTCCTTGGCATGAGAAATAGAACTAAAGTGTTTTCGATAGATAGCTTAATCGAACCGACGTTCCTACGGAAGTCGATTCTAGGGGGAAGCTAATGTAACAGCTTAGGTTGGTTGGTTAAGAGTTGACCCCAAACAACCAAGCATATGCCAAAACAGTATTGTTCAAGTATTCATTCACTTCCTTATTTTGTATAAGCGTTATATTCCCTAATATCTTATATTGAATGTTGAGAGCCTTTGTTTGTCTGAACAGATAATCCCACGCTCCACTGTGACTGCGCGAAGATCGAAATAAAGACCTATTCACTACTTCTCTGGTTTCTTCTATCAATAGCACGAGGGTTACCTTAAGGAACGAAACTGGTGAGCCCTTTTTGAACACAAATTCAACCTCATTTCTGTTATTAACATTTTTTTTACTTACTCGTAAAAGTAGACCTGATTATCCGTAAACTAAGTTGAGTATATAACTAGTTTATTCCGTATTATCTTAAGTTATTCGTGTTATAGTAACCATTTTTCGTGCTAACTTTATTGCTATATTTGTCACATACCTCATGTCAGACTCAATAGAAACCCATAATCTGGAGGATTTGTCACCAGTGGAGATAGACACTGTTATGACTACGAAATCTCGACTTCCAGAATTTGATCGTAGTGATCCTAGAGCATTATTTCACGAGACACAATATCAAATCTGAAGGGATTCGCTATAGAGACTTGTGTTCTATCCTTCCTCCTTCAGTCGCCAAAGAAGTCCGTGACTTGATTTTAGATCCACCATCACCACAACCATACACCATCTTAAGACGAGAGATAATGAACCGTTTATCATTATCAGATAGTCAAAGAATTCAAAGACTTTTTCAAGGTGAAACACTAGGTGATCGGTCGCCGTCACAGTTTTTACGTCACCTCTAAGTGGGTGAAGCAGTCCTAAAACAAGGATGGATACAAGCTCTCCCAAGCTACGTCCAACACTATTTGGATGCACAAGATCCTGAAACCTCATTATCTCATTTAGCGCGTATAGCCGATAGAATAATGGAAAGAGGTCCTCCAACTGGACCAGGCACAATAAATCACACACAAAAAGTAGAATCAGCAAAAGACCCCGTCATAGAAGGACTCATTGCGAGTGTTAAGAGTCTCACTGAGGCTGTCACCAGAATGCAAATGGGTCATAGAAACAGGAGCAGGTCACCACAACGACCACGATCCAAGTCACAAAACAGGTCACAAATGTCCAGACAATCTGGGCAGTTTTGTTGGTACCACTGGAAGTTTGGTGTCAACTCAACCAAGTGCATGCAACCATGCGCCTGGCCTAAGCATAATTTTAAGACAGCGGGAAACGAGTAACCCCTCCCCAGGTCGCGACGACTGAGGAGGGGCGCCTAAACAGTCGCTTGTTTTATGTTAGAGACAGAAACTCTGGCTTGAATTTCTTGGTGGATACTGGCGCTGCTCTTAGCATCATCCCTCAAAATAAAACTGAGATTAGTCGAGAAACACCATCAATTACACTTCAAGCTGCAAATAAAACTAAAATTGCGACATTTGGGCAGAAAAATTTAACCCTAGATTTGGGGTTCAGGAGGCTATTCCCTTGGGTTTTCACGGTAGCCGACTTAGATCTGGCAATACTGGGGATGGACTTTCTAGAGAGATACGAATTTCTAGTTGACACCAAGAAACGGCGATTAACACTAAAAGAAACTTCGTATTACACAAAAGGCAAAGAAAGTCACATCAGCTCTCTTAACTTGATTCAAACTCCTCCAGTAACAACAGCGAAATTCCAAGATATACTCGCGGAATTTCCAAACTTAACTAAACCAAACTCACAGCCTTCCAAAGACAAACTAAAAGTAAGTCACACTATCAAAACCGAAGGTGCACCGGTTTTTGCAAAACCCAGGAGACTAGCACCAGATAAGCTCAAAATCGCTAGGGCCGAGTTTGATTATATGCTACAACTGGGTATTATCCGTCCCTCTGATAGTCAATGGGCATCCCCTTAGCATGTGGTCCCAAAGAAGAATGAAGGTGACTGGCGACCGTGCGGGGATTACAGAGCCCTAAACCGTCAAACCGTACCAGATAGGTACCCAATACCGCATATCCAAGATTTCACAAACGGTTTACAGGGTATGAACATATTCACTAAAATTGACTTAGTCAGGGCATATCACAATATCCCAGTGGCTGATGAAGATATTCCCAAGACAGCTATTAGAACACCCTTTGGCTTATTCGAGTTTGTACGCATGCTATTCGGCCTCAGATATTCTTGTTCCACATTCTCACACTTTCTCTTGAAAGCACGCAGCAAACCGTCAGCGATATTTGTAGAAGAAATCACATGCTACAAAATAAGATGACAAGCTAGTAATTGAAGAGACATCCATGGACTATCGTTGACAGCGTCAGTCGTCACTGATTGTAAGTCAAACAGTGAGCGAGTTGATAATTCTTCCTTGGCATGAGAAATAGAACTAAAGTGTTTTCGATAGATAGCTTAATCGAACCGACGTTCCTACGGAAGTCGATTCTAGGGGGAAGCTAATGTAACAGCTTAGGTTGGTTGGTTAAGAGTTGACCCCAAACAACCAAGCATATGCCAAAACAGTATTGTTCAAGTATTCATTCACTTCCTTATTTTGTATAAGCGTTATATTCCCTAATATCTTATATTGAATGTTGAGAGCCTTTGTTTGTCTGAACAGATAATCCCACGCTCCACTGTGACTGCGCGAAGATCGAAATAAAGACCTATTCACTACTTCTCTGGTTTCTTCTATCAATAGCACGAGGGTTACCTTAAGGAACGAAACTGGTGAGCCCTTTTTGAACACAAATTCAACCTCATTTCTGTTATTAACATTTTTTTTACTTACTCGTAAAAGTAGACCTGATTATCCGTAAACTAAGTTGAGTATATAACTAGTTTATTCCGTATTATCTTAAGTTATTCGTGTTATAGTAACCATTTTTCGTGCTAACTTTATTGCTATATTTGTCACATACCTCATGTCAGACTCAATAGAAACCCATAATCTGGAGGATTTGTCACCAGTGGAGATAGACACTGTTATGACTACGAAATCTCGACTTCCAGAATTTGATCGTAGTGATCCTAGAGCATTATTTCACGAGACACAATATCAAATCTGAAGGGATTCGCTATAGAGACTTGTGTTCTATCCTTCCTCCTTCAGTCGCCAAAGAAGTCCGTGACTTGATTTTAGATCCACCATCACCACAACCATACACCATCTTAAGACGAGAGATAATGAACCGTTTATCATTATCAGATAGTCAAAGAATTCAAAGACTTTTTCAAGGTGAAACACTAGGTGATCGGTCGCCGTCACAGTTTTTACGTCACCTCTAAGTGGGTGAAGCAGTCCTAAAACAAGGATGGATACAAGCTCTCCCAAGCTACGTCCAATACTATTTGGATGCACAAGATCCTGAAACCTCATTATCTCATTTAGCGCGTATAGCCGATAGAATAATGGAAAGAGGTCCTCCAACTGGACCAGGCACAATAAATCACACACAAAAAGTAGAATCAGCAAAAGACCCCGTCATAGAAGGACTCATTGCGAGTGTTAAGAGTCTCACTGAGGCTGTCACCAGAATGCAAATGGGTCATAGAAACAGGAGCAGGTCACCACAACGACCACGATCCAAGTCACAAAACAGGTCACAAATGTCCAGACAATCTGGGCAGTTTTGTTGGTACCACTGGAAGTTTGGTGTCAACTCAACCAAGTGCATGCAACCATGCGCCTGGCCTAAGCATAATTCTAAGACAGCGGGAAACGAGTAACCCCTCCCCAGGTCGCGACGACTGAGGAGGGGCGCCTAAACAGTCGCTTGTTTTATGTTAGAGACAGAAACTCTGGCTTGAATTTCTTGGTGGATACTGGCGCTGCTCTTAGCATCATCCCTCAAAATAAAACTGAGATTAGTCGAGAAACACCATCAATTACACTTCAAGCTGCAAATAAAACTAAAATTGCGACATTTGGGCAGAAAAATTTAACCCTAGATTTGGGGTTCAGGAGGCTATTCCCTTGGGTTTTCACGGTAGCCGACTTAGATCTGGCAATACTGGGGATGGACTTTCTAGAGAGATACGAATTTCTAGTTGACACCAAGAAACGGCGATTAACACTAAAAGAAACTTCGTATTACACAAAAGGCAAAGAAAGTCACATCAGCTCTCTTAACTTGATTCAAACTCCTCCAGTAACAACAGCGAAATTCCAAGATATACTCGCGGAATTTCCAAACTTAACTAAACCAAACTCACAGCCTTCCAAAGACAAACTAAAAGTAAGTCACACTATCAAAACCGAAGGTGCACCGGTTTTTGCAAAACCCAGGAGACTAGCACCAGATAAGCTCAAAATCGCTAGGGCCGAGTTTGATTATATGCTACAACTGGGTATTATCCGTCCCTCTGATAGTCAATGGGCATCCCCTTAGCATGTGGTCCCAAAGAAGAATGAAGGTGACTGGCGACCGTGCGGGGATTACAGAGCCCTAAACCGTCAAACTGTACCAGATAGGTACCCAATACCGCATATCCAAGATTTCACAAACGGTTTACAGGGTATGAACATATTCACTAAAATTGACTTAGTCAGGGCATATCACAATATCCCAGTGGCTGATGAAGATATTCCCAAGACAGCTATTACAACACCCTTTGGCTTATTCGAGTTTGTACGCATGCTATTCGGCCTCAGATATTCTTGTTCCACATTCTCACACTTTCTCTTGAAAGCACGCAGCAAACCGTCAGCGATATTTGTAGAAGAAATCACATGCTACAAAATAAGATGACAAGCTAGTAATTGAAGAGACATCCATGGACTATCGTTGACAGCGTCAGTCGTCACTGATTGTAAGTCAAACAGTGAGCGAGTTGATAATTCTTCCTTGGCATGAGAAATAGAACTAAAGTGTTTTCGATAGATAGCTTAATCGAACCGACGTTCCTACGGAAGTCGATTCTAGGGGGAAGCTAATGTAACAGCTTAGGTTGGTTGGTTAAGAGTTGACCCCAAACAACCAAGCATATGCCAAAACAGTATTGTTCAAGTATTCATTCACTTCCTTATTTTGTATAAGCGTTATATTCCCTAATATCTTATATTGAATGTTGAGAGCCTTTGTTTGTCTGAACAGATAATCCCACGCTCCACTGTGACTGCGCGAAGATCGAAATAAAGACCTATTCACTACTTCTCTGGTTTCTTCTATCAATAGCACGAGGGTTACCTTAAGGCACGAAAACCCCATTAATGCACTCCGTGAACTAGGAAAAAGTGAAGTTGACCCTTACTCCAAAAAGTCAGTTACTTAGATATGAAGTCAATCAATCAATCAATGGTGATGTGATACCTAGCCGTTTGAGCTTAAGAGTGACTCTATAGAAAGATCTTGAGAAGTAAGGAATACTTTTCTATCTGTCCACCGCGGTCAGCAGGTTGATCATACGAAAGTGACCATTCCTATGACCATTCTGTTGAGGTGAGTGGAAGTTTATGAATAATAACTAGCCACAATGACCGTCGTATGTCAGGAATTCTGTAATTTTTAAGACTATTGGTAGAAGTGCTTCCACCCGGTAGCTTGAACGTTCTCTGCATCAGCCTCCTTTGAAAATTGATGTGATATGAGCCAGCTTCCAAATTTTTGGCATCGAGTTTCGGTTTACTGAATATGAAAACATCACACTAAATGGTTTCTCCAAGATTAAAGTCCCTCCTCTCTCCCATTTCCGGGTCAGGAGAGATATCCTTGTTTAGGTGCTTCAGCTTCCGATACACCAAGTCAATGCTCAGGATCACTTCTTAGAGACTTGTTTAATTGCATGAAAAGCTTTTATTGATACAATTTGTATAAGACGGTTGAAATGATTGAGAAACGCTGTTCCACCAAAAGAACTATCAAGACCTAACAACTGGGAAACTCAGGTTTTCACTGGTCGAAGAGAGGTTGCATGACGGAATAAACTTTTCAGACTGGAGACAAATACATTGGTTAGCTTTAGCTGATAATGAAGCTTTTCTTCTCTTATTGCTTTTGTGCATTGGTCCCTTGCTAGTTTGAACTGCCTATAATTGTTCGTTTGTATTTCACCCAGTAGTCTTTTTTGTGTATTAGCATTCAAAAGGTGAAATGTTTTATGACTGTATGTTGCTTGTCATTTTTGTGGACCGTTTTGGAGACAGAATACTTTGTAGCACACATGATCGTGTGCAGTAAGTGCACATCAGGTTGAAGGTAGACTTACCCGTCCACTTCCTGTAGGTCCTTCTGTAAAGCTAACACTTCCAGACGTTTGAAATTTCGATGCCTGTCGATAGTAGGATGCTTTAACCCGAAATGAAGGCTATGACAGAGTGGTCATTTTTTTCATGAGGAGCCAAGATTATTAGGTTGTCAATTAGAAATTCTTTACTTGCGGATATGTAGTGACTCACATTTATCACGAGAACACGACTGGTTTAATAAAAACAATTATTATTATAACCAACTGTACCAGTGCTTGTTTTAATATGCTTTTGTTTGACTGTGCTAATGACAGCTATATTGTTCTTCCATTCTTATTCTTACACTTTGATTGTACCTTCGCGCGAATTCGGTTACGTTCTGTAACCAAGCTTGTATTCTGGCACGATCTCGGTATCCTTTCGATACCACGAGATCGCCAGCGAATATATCTCGATTTGGTCCATTAACTGCCTTCTAATATTTGGCTTCTCGGGGATTTTATGGATCTATTTGGTTACGTTCGACCTTCGCCTTCTGATTTACTCGACTCGTGTTTTTTGGTAGCGGTGTTCATAGTCAACCGCGACTCAACCCCACGCTACAAATATACAGTCGAAGCGCAATGTGTCTGACTGTTTCTTCACCGACTTGTTGATCTCAGTTTTTCGAATGTTTAACCGAGTTGCAATAGTGATATCACATTCAATGTACGTGTGGTCAGTGAAATTATCTTAGGTGAGATTGAAGTCTCCTACAATCAGAGTATGAGTATATCCAAGTAAGATAATCCCTCCAACATACGATTGTCGTTCCCAATGTACGCAGTGGGCTTCCTGTAGATGACTCCAACTAGACACCTCAAGGTATTAGGCAACCTTACTGAACACGGCATAGATTTATCAAGATTGATAAACTCTGGAGTGTACGCCTAATGTGCTACCAAGCAAGATCCTAGGCACAGGGCCACTCCGCCCCCAATCCATGTTTTTTGTCGTTGCGAAACGAGGGCAACCGGATATCGCTGGCTCCTGATCCGTTATTTGAAATTTCCATGTTTCAAATGGGTATCATTGGCGTTACTTAGTTCACGCAACTCATCCGTTTTTGTTCAGTAAACTCGTAGAGTTCGTTTGTAGGCAGTTAATACTGTTAATCTGAAACGCTTGAGCCTCTTCATCCCGTTTATGCGAGTGAGCTTTATGCGAATGGACGGGCAACCTACCCACACAGGGTTTCCCTTCCACACGTTCCCTTGGTCTTGATTATCCACAAGTAAAATAGTCAGTTAAAATTTACTTCTGTGCTTGATCCTTGTGTGGTGTGTGCTACTCATATTGATATAAGTAGTGTATGACGCGAGTTAGAAACGTAATTTCTGGCAGCAGAAGATGGAGGAAGATCAAGAAAGGAAGAGCTGAACACAATGCGATTTTTAAGAAGACCCTTGAATAATGAAATGTGAGACAGTGGATTGATGTTTGCAATAGGAACAGTCCGGTTTGATATGAGGGATTGATACTTTGCAAATTAACGATTTGCTATATGGTTTTTCTATTATACCGAGTAACTCTGTAATTTTGTGCTAAATACATTCTATTGTCCCCACCCGTGTTCTGTTCACTACACTTGTACCATATGTCCGTCCGGTTGCATGTAGATTTCAGCCGGTCACGGGCATCTGTTGACACTAAATGCCTTGAGGGTGGCGGCCGCGATTTGGGAGGATGGGAGGATTATTTTTGTTGATCGGGATCTAGAATCTTCCTTCTTCAGTAACCAAACAACTTGTTGGGTCAACATGTTCTTCATCTCCAAAGACTGGTCTATGAACTTCATCTCTATAGTATCGTAGTCTGCATGGTTAGTGTTTATGGTTTCTGGCACTCCTTGCACAATGATGTTTCTTCCGCAAGAGAACGTCGCGCGAGATTCCTTAAAGATGTTCCTGGTGGGACATGTCTCAGAATGTGGTACATCAGGCAGTGTTCTCACATACCCCTCTGAATTCACGAAGTGGCTAGCCAGCAGAACATTAATAGTGTTGACGAACGTTGCATGAAGGAGTCTCGGATAATTTTGTTGCTAGGAGTCCTCCTCCGGGAAAAGGTGTGTGACGTTGGGTGGTTCAATTTTGAGAAGTCTGTGCTTCTTGTTAAAGTCTTCCCTAAACATCCGGTCACTTTTGTCTTGTGGATTGATAAGGAGGTCAGAGCTGTTTCTAACGTTAGTGATTATGGGAAGATCATCGCATGTTTTCCATCACGTTGAGGTTGGGGTTCTTCTTATTTGGCAGTTAGATTACGGTCCGGAACCCCGTACAATCTGTTAACAGACTGGACAATCTTAAGAGTAGATGGCGCGGCTGATTCATTAACTAGTTTTCTTAGAAAATCTGGGCTGTTCAGTAATTTCCACGATGAATGATTCCTCTTTACCCTGTCGATAGGATTTGGGTCACCTACAGTAGACGTTTTACAGACCACAGTTGCATTAGAAGTTTCTGAAAAAATCTGACACCGTCGATGTTATGGCGGTGCTGAGTTTCAGCATAACTTCCCAAGTGTCGATGAGTGTTCCATCAGTACTAATGTTATCGAAGGCCATCTATGTTATTGCTCAGAGCATCTTTCTCTACTTATCCGTTTCAAGAGTGCCTTTTCAGGGCTGCCGATAACTTTCCACAGACCTGTCAAGGAATGATGATATGGCTCAGCAAAACGTCAGCACTCATGTTGGGTGTGTCACATGCCCACTTGTGATCTGATTTAACTAGTCTGTTCCAAGCAGTTACTGTAAGGTCTGGGCATGCATCGTGCAACCAAGCTTTGCATTTGTCACACTGCATACCACAGGTTACAGAAAACCAGCATTCACGTCGCTTTTATGTGTGTCCCAATGATCATGGTGCAATATAAGTTGCTAAATAAATATTAAAAAAAGTTTATGACCATGAGAAGAAATCAGTATAATTAAAACTGATAAGAGGGATAAAAACGGGTAGTATTGAAGTATAAGGAAACTAGCATCCATGAGAAAGACCTTAAAAACTAAATAAAAATCCGAAACACAACCACAGCTAGGTATTAACGTGGATAAGACTCGAAAGAAAAAGTAATCTACCGAATGTTAAAAGTAGGATAGATTCTTTAGATCAAAGGTGGTAATTTTGTTACTCAAGGAGACATAAAGTTTGAAAAATACAAATTTATCGCTGTTGCGGCACTCTCCCAGTCAATATCAGGCTCTCCCTTATGTCCATGCCGTCTTCAAAGTGGTGGAAATGAAACCAAGAATGCACGAACGATGAGGGAACCTCATTTTAAGATCGTATACCAATTAAGCCATTACAATATGAAATGGTGTGGTTAACTGGATAAGGTAAATAAGTTCTTTTATATAGCGTGCAGAATCCAAACTACGGTTTGGATAGAAGAATAACCGACCGGGGACTTTAGACACGCGCCCTTTCCCGTCGAAATCAAAACAAGTAATCGGGTAAATAGCGGTTCTATAATTCATCATAAATTTAAATGTAAATCGTTACCTAAACAAATATTACCACCCGGCTATTCAACCAATAATTGTTCAATCAATCAAATCTAAATTACAATAAATAAAGAAGTTGATAGAAGATGAGGGAAAATTACCAGTCACAACAAATGAACGTTATTCTATCCTGACTGGATAGAACACACACAAAAGGAGGAGCAAATCAATATGGCTACCGCCAAGAACAAGTGTCAAGTAAAACAACACAGATGCAGTTCAGGAGGAAACACAAACTTAGTGAATGCGTAAGAAAAACAAAAACTATAATAAAAAAATACAAGTATTAACAATTCAAATGTAATCAAAATACAACAATGTACAACTAAGGGGATCAATAGGAACAAAGTACAAGTATATACATGGAGGGATTTTCACCAACACACAAAACCTTCAAAGTGGATCTTACATAGCGTACGAAGCGTTTTTGAATGACTCGCATTAAAGTATACTGCAGATCACTGACGCAGATGATCTTTGTCGAATGATCGGGGACCTACTAGAGTTAGACGGGAACGGTGTGATCAACCAGCTGATGATGAAGTCACACCTCACGGTAAGTATCTAACACGGATTACCCTCTCGTCTTATTCGGGGACGATGGCTGCTTTGAAGGCCCTATAACGTAAAAAGAGTTATTCTAGTAAGAGTGGTTGCAAGGAAGAGTTTGTGACGACCACCATATTGGCCAGTCCTTAGCGAGCGATCAATTGTTGCGCGTTGAACTTGATGAGGATGGGTGAACTGTCCGGCATTCATTGAGCGAACAGTTGGATGATTTAGCTAAAGTCCAGTGACACTCCAATGGACCTACAATATCAAAGCAAAGACTGTCCTTAATTTAAACGGTCCTAATTTAAGGAAGAAGATAAGTCATATTAAAGGCAGAAATACCTTAAACGGTTCATCACGTGCTGAACAAAGTTCTACCCAGCACAAAATAAAGTGATAAACAGCAATAAAAATAGTTAATAGTTGTCACTTTGTAGGGACAGTGAAATGTCAGCGCCCATCAGTTAGTCGAACTCTGTTTCTTGTTCTTACCCTTACAAATATATCTGTAATAACGTCGTTTGTGCTATACGGTCATAAAAGTAGCCATATGACGGTGGGGTAATCCACGTCAGATACTTACTGTGAGGTGTGACTTCGTCATCGGCTGGTTGGTCACAGTATCCCCGTCTAACTCGAGTAGGCCCCCAATCATTCGACGCAAACCATCTACATTGGCGATCTACATGTCCGGTATCTGAGAATCAATAAAAATATTTCCGCTACGGGATCAGATATCCATCTACAAGGATTACAGTAACTTCTCTAAGCAGACGGCCAAAAGTTAATACTCATGCACTGAACCACGTTGTAACCCTGATTTTAGTAAAACACGGCCCTGTCGTTCATAGTCCGGCAACGTGCGACGGTAAAATTAAGTGACAAAAGGTAAATCTTTAGACAAAGTCAAATAATAAAGGCCGAGACAAGGAAGGCTGAGGAACATAACATGTCGTTAAGAGGGACCTGAATAAAAGTTAGAACACAAGACAAGGAACAAATAAATAACAAAAACGTTTAAAAAATGCTTTGGACCGATTTTCAGCGTGTTACAAAAGGTAGTAAGTTTATGTAAACGTGGTGCCTTACTTCAATGATTGAACTGGAAATATACCTTCTCCTTTGGTTCCTAAAGGATTGAAGAGAAAAATTGTAGAGTTTTATACATGCGGATCATCTATGGACCAGATGATCACTGAGGAAAACTATCTGTTCGGTGGTTCTGCCAGACAGTCCCGAAACATGTAAAGTCACTCCGTTATATAAAAAAATGATCCTTCTACACATAAAACAATGTAACATTTGAGCGCATCTATAAATCAAAGGGGAAAGACGAAAGTTTAGAGAGATTTTTCAAGTTTGTTTGTTTTGTTTTAACTCATCAATAAAACCTACGTGATTGCCAGCTTGTAAGTGCACTTGCTGTGAATCATTTTTATCTGGTTAGTTTATGTAGTTTTCTCCTAATCTAGACCGATATTTCAGTTTCAGTTGACACTCATCAGCCAATTACCTCTTATCGTTGAAATTGTTAAATGTAAGTACGTTTTCAGTTTAGTGATTGAGTAGCGTAGGTGCGTATATACGTAGAAATTTGCTACCAGAGTAACAATCTGACACTCCAGAAGTGTACGACTGGGCTTTAAAGTTAGCCGGACAACTATAGACTTACTTTCAACTCCTTAAAATGTGCGCATCGTTACGCGACTTGTTTTAAACTACATATACAACTAGGGTCGTTTTCCCCTACATGTGTCACCAGTTAAAAAAGATCTAGGGATCTTGATACACTGTGGTCTAAAACCCTATGTTGTCAGACAAAACTGCTTTGGGAACGAATCCTCCTCTGTTAACCTCAATGCCACTTTTGTTTACAAAATTGGGGCCAGGATCTATAGAGTAATAATACTGCTACCTAGCATCACTAACATCTCTGACCGGCGAGACTAATTTATGGGCGAACCAATAAGATTTAGGATAATAGATCTTGGGTTTTTGGAGCGAATTCCATCTATCCACTTGGCTAAATAGCGTTTTGGCATTTTCGTTGATGTCGTTTCGTGATGAAAAACGCTAACCATTAACAGTAAATTATAATTCTTACTCCTCCCGCCGGTTTACAACCCTCATTAAGCCCTAGTAAGTAGATAAACGTTCTCAAAGTCCCTTTGGCGTCGCTCAAACGTTGTTCATAAATTATAATCTCACCCGCTAACTGTACACTTAGTCGCGCCAAATCCTTAGACACTGTCTGAAACAGGAGCATGTATTTCTTCTGATTCCGCTTACTCACTTTTCTGTACTCACCATTTGGTTATACAGTAAATTTTTTTATTAGTTTCAAACTTTAGGAACCGAATCTCGCTAATTTTCACGTAGTAATAAAATATATGTTATGTAAGAGTGTACCGGTTCACCTCAGTCAAGTGGTACTTTGTTTGCGAGGGGAGCATGTAGAGTAGTGTGAACGAGGAGAGCTGGAAGAAAATAAAATAAAAGGTGAGTTGACGGCTTAGCAACTGCATATAATTCATTTACGTTTGCTAAAGAAAGCAGTAGACAACAGTCAGCAATAACAAGCCTCAGGTTAAGACTGTCTCCAAATTGGGACTAAGGGCAGATAGTTTAACCCATCGTAAGCAACACTCTTGATTTCACGCAAAATATCTACGAGGTGCAATGTCAACGCTGACTGGTTCACTCAAAGCTGTCGGTGCAGCATCCTTTTACCTCTTATTTACTACTGACTAAACTGGTCAAGCGAATTCCCTTGAGTGCTTAAATGGTGAACTTCATACGGTCTTGGTTACCCATAATAGTGTACCATACTAGTTTACTAACGATTCTTTTGCTTCTGTTTGCTTCATATACATGGATCTCTATCCAAAGGAATCAGTGATCCATTACTACTATACGTAAGCTTTTGCTATTCTGTTCACAGTCATTTGAACTATTTTGACTCGTCCTCAGTTTTAATTACTGTATTCACTCGGATTCATACATCAATCATTCGTTGGTCCTTTGCGTATTTAATTACAAGTGCTTTTTTCAGTTACGTGCATGTACTAAATCTTTAGTTCAAGTTTTTTTCTCTTCCAGATTCCTGTGCTTGGTGAGTAAATTGTCACTACCAAACTTACGTGTCTTCGTGCTTTTTTTACAACTCATCCACCCTTTCCACGAGAGTCTGTCAACGGATGGACATCACATTCTCGAGGATGTTCTTCCTCTTTGTTTATTTATCCTTGCTTGCTTTTGGAAATGGAATTTCAGTTGAAGAGGTAGGGTCAAAATCTTCATGTTATTGTCGTTCAGATATTAGAAAAAAAAATTAGGAAAATGAATCAGCTTACTACCAGCCAATCATATATCAGTCTTGATACTGATCAATTTAATCTTCTAATAAAATCACAGCCTAGGAATTACTCAGTTATATTACTTCTGACTGCCTTAAGTTCTAATAGGAACTGTGCGCCCTGCAGGTTGGTATCACTTTGATATCCTCACAAGTGTTATTCAGACAAGCATTTGAAGAGTTTCAAGTTGTATCGAACTCTTGGAAGTACTCTAAGCAGCGTGATGATCGGTTGTTCTTCGCGATTGCAGACTTTGACAAGGCACCTGGTGTCTTTGAGTTTGTAAGTTATAAAAATCTAGTCACCACTTTAGCTACATCAAGAAACTGCGCCTGCGATTGTGTTTGTATCACCTAAAGGAAATATAAAGCAATCGGACTACATGGATATTACGGTTAATGGATTTTCTGCTGAGGCGATCATGCGATGGATAACTGGAATTACCCAAATCCAGGTAAATATGTTTCGCTTTTAGATTTCTCAGATTCGTTTATTCCGACCTCCAAATTATACTGGAACCATGATACTTGCCCTTTTTATGTCCTTTGGGGCTGCGGTTTTGTACTTCCGTCGAATCAACTTGGACTGTCTATATAATCGTTCATTATGGAGTGCAATATCGTTGGTAAGCAATAGATTTTTGTCAGTTGTAAAGTTGGTAAAATAGAGTAATACCTCAATCCAGATTGTTTTGGGTATTCGACAGTTTAACCGTTAAGGATTCGTGAGATTAATTATCTTCTGAAGCTTATAGAATTCGATAGCGTAGTTAATTTTTGTAGGATACTTATTCTCATGTTAGTAATTTTGCCTTAAGTACCCTCAATAACGTGATGTTTTTTTATGCATTTTATGGTGCAAGATGCTGTTAATAGTCATAAGAACCATTCCCTTCAAATGACTAGTTTATCCTTTAAATACTCGCATATTTTGATTTAAAAGTGTCAAGAAAATAATGGAATACCGTTAAAACAGTTAGCTATTTGCATACTAAAATATAACAACCAGAATAAATAATTTTTATGGTGAAAACAAAAGTTGATGTTTATTACAAACGTTCCACTCAACTGTTTCATTCTCCTGATATCCATCTTTGTGTGCAGAATACTTATGGAATTTAGTCATTTTTGAACTCCTAACTCAGTTTCTCTGAGCTTTATTATTATTAGTGGGTTTATTTAATATTATACTTTAGATACGATATGAAATTCTCAGCACAAAGTGTTTCAGCAAGTTTCTTACACAAAAAACAAAGACAAACAACTGCGTACATGTGTACATAGTCAGTCAGTCAGTCAGCTACAACGTAGGACCAGGCGCATATATGCATCGGTCCAAGTTGCCATACCTCATTAACACAACAGAATAAACACCGGATTCATAAAAGTAGTTAATTCAGTTGTGGTAATATATAAAAGAAAGATAGCATATAATGATGTAGTACCATAAGAAAGAATTACTACGTAGAAAGAAATATATGGAGCGGTTTTAATCTCTTAGTTTAAGGGAAGACAGAGAGTGTATACACCTACGCCATTGTGATCGATTCTGAGCCATGTCACCAAGTCTCCAACCATTGGTTACGATAGTCACACGGACCTCAACCAAGTAGTCTGCATCTACCAACATGGCTCAGACAAGAAGTTAGTGACTTCAAGTACTAATGCCACGTTTTGGTTTGGCCGCCCCTAACTTTCTTCCAACCATCCCCAACATCAGCTGGCATTGGGCGTCGTGGTAATCGGTGTTCAGGCATACGCAACGCGTGGCCCAACCATCTCAGTCGATGAAGATTCACAACCTCATCAACTGATTTACCATCATTCCCTAATACCTTGTGTCTAACCTCACTATTACTTACCCGGTGATCCCAGCAGACGCCAGCAATATTTCTAAGGCATCTGTGGTCAAATATTAGTAGCTTACAAATATCTTCCCTTAATGGCCACGTTTCGTATCTGTAAAGTAAAACAGAACAAACTGCCGTGCAGTATACTCGTCCTTTTATTGATAGACGGATATCTCGCCTTTTCATAGGTGGTGATACTTGAGGAGGGAGCCTAAGGAGGAAGTTTAGTGTTGAAAGTCGACGTAGGAGGAATAATAGGGACTGAAGAAAGAGGTTGATTATGAATGTAGTATTCTTGAGTGCTGTTAGAGGTATGAGGGCGGTTATCACTTCCCGGTTGCACACACCGTGGAAGGGTTCCTCTGGAGGTACCTGAAAAGGAAATTGGATTAGAGGTGGTCTTAATGACCTGAGAGCGTGACCGCAGTGCCCAAGGGACAACTGCTTGAGGTCAGTCACACACGATACTTGTGAGTAATCTTCGTGTTGGCTCCGTACTTGTCGAAACCTTACCGCCGGAGACGGATATCCGTGGGATAAGGTGAGGTGTGCATTTTTAGGGTGGACGTTTTCTAACCCCAACCCTCCTAATGGGAACGTAGCATCGCTGTCATGCTGGTTTTCCAAAGGAAACACCTTACTGCCGTCACACCTCTGTATAGTCAGCAGTACGACTTCGCCTTCGGACCTTGGGTTTGTTGCTTTTAGTCTTACCGCTCTTCAACCGACCTGCCTGGCATGGTGGGGCCCTGAGGAACGATTGTTTCAGCCAATATAGCTCGGTTGCTTCATCACGATAGACAAGTCCAACCACCACGTCAAGGTGACAACAACGTTCGGGGTGTACATAAGCTACCTGGAATTAAGTAAAATGTTTTTATAAAGAAGATTTGAATCCGTACTAGTTTGTAATTAGAATTTTATTAAAGAAAACTAGTTATTGACCAGGTCAGCTCTAACAACCTGTTCGTCACATAGTATATTTACTAGATTATGTTATTGTATGTATTTGTCCCTTCATGGAATGAGTGAAAACATTCGTATTCCTCGTACAAGTGCAATATGAAGCAATCAGAGAATCGTAAATTTCTTTTCGAAAGTGAGTGGGGAAAAGGATTGTTATATGTCAGTTGATTACGACTCACTGAGTAGGATATTAGATCTCTCACAGCTCCGTAGATTAAGATGTCAAGCACGCCTCACAAATAAAAACTAGCAATCATAATGTAATGCTATGTGTTTTTTATAGACAGCCGTATGCACTTTTCGAAAAAAGCGTATTGTGCTTGCATCCTTATGTATTCTTCAATAATAACAATGATAGCATTATCTGTATAATAATTTGTCATCATCATTGTTATTAATTTTCTTCCAAAAGTGTTATTTCATTTATATGATATGGTGGTTGATTAAGGTTTTGAGCATAATGACTAAGATTGGCTTTTAATCAAGATCGCGTCTTTATTGTTATTCCTTCTAATCTTCGATTGTTACGCACCAAACGTATTGATCGACTTGGGTTGCTTCATTACTTTAAGTGAGACTTCAAAACTTTTAATAGAGGTCGTCCATAAATTGTCCATCATAATTTCGAGATATATCTTTATACGTCAAGGAGACTAATTGAATAACACCACATGTCCCCATTCTTTTAATGATAGTAAGAATAGGTACAATTGCTTAATTTCACAATTAATCTTTCTCGAGATAACTTGAAAATAAATGTGGTGGCATGATGAATATTACATAAAGATGTTGACTTACAGTATTTATGTACATAGTTTCACTATCCCATAGACAACTCAGATCAGTTAATTGGTTTGTTGTTGGAATTATCAAATACAACAAGTGTTTGAGTTACAGAAAAGTGGACTATTTTTATTGATGTGTCTTATTAGTTTGGACTTTCGTATGTATCTTATCAATTTCCCCTCGCTTCGATAATGTTGAGTCACAACTTGATGGATAACTGTGCCATATTCCATAGCTTTTATAACCAAATTCATTTTTCAAAATTGACAGAGTCCTATTCCATGAGAAGTTATTGGAAACACTCAAGGTTACCAAATATATGATTATTTCTGTAAGTATTAATGTGGGCAAAATGTAAAAGATGAACCCACTCGTTATGCATAGAAAACCAATTTACTCCATAAAGAATGCCACTTCAACCTAAATCTGGCTGTGAAATTATTTGTCTAACTCAAAAACTATCAACTAAACTTCCGTTTACTCCTCAGTCTACGAGCTAAAATCGAAATTCTATGGACGAAACCGCCTGTGTTTCTAATTGTACTCTATGATATCTTAATCAGTTTTGTTTTGCATTTTTATGTATCTTTACAATGCAATTTTTTTGTACGATTCATATTCTCTACCAATAACACTAATATCTAAGACATTTTCATACATTTCAAATAATTTCAATTATACAAACGGCTTGCGATTCTAGATTACGCTGTACTTGTACATAAAGTTTTACACCTAAAAAAATCCCCATAACATATTCGAAAATTAAGAATGTGTTTTTACTAATTTTATTGTACAAACACAATATTTCAAGTGGGAGTTGTATGAAGACTATTAGACAACTATTATTACTACGTCCTCTAAACAATAGACTATTAAAAGATACGTAACTTCATGTTTCCTTCGTATATCAATATATGTTAGTGGCATCGTCTAGGCGAAAGTAATACATCTCATTTACGCTTAGATTGACAGAATATCAAGTTTCAGAAGCAAGTTATCGAGCAGTTTGAAACTGAGTTATTTCCAGAATGATCAGTCATTTATAGGCAGGAAATGCTTGAAAAAAGTATCTACTGTCTTTTTTTCCGTAACGACAATGAGTATTTCTGGTTTATTTTGATGTTTAGTTTTATCAATACTAATGACGACAGCAAACAGTATGAGCTTCCGGATTCGTACATAAGAGATATACTAAAAAAAAAAAACAATGCCTTCGGTCTGTTTCATCACCAACAAGAAGAAACTGTGCCCACAGAAGACTTCTGTAACAATCATTGTTGATGTATATTTGTCATTCGATAATAATAGGTCTCACCTCAGTTAAATAGGTATGTCGCTCGAATGGTATATTTAAGAGATGTAACTATGTTAAACATGCCTTCCTCATTTTTAGTTCTTTTTTATTAATTAATATTATTATTAGTATCAGTTTGTCTTGTTTTCTTAATTTCCTATCGTCGTATTTTTTTCAAAGTAACGGCACCATGAACCAGTAAACTATTTTCCCATAGCTCCCTATTTTTTATTATTTACTTGTAATCCTAGTTCAAGCCTAAATTTTAGAAATAATACAATAGCTAACAGTTTGTTCATTAGTGGTTTGAGTGTAAGTTATTCTTAATGACCAGTATGTACAGTGTCACTTAATGAGCACTTTTTTGTTGTAGGGTGTTATTTTCTGTTCTATTTCTGGGCAAGTGTACAATCATATTCGTGGACCCCCGCTTTTTCATGCGCCACCTCCTAACGGAGAAATTGTAAGATGTGTTTTTTCTTTATTCAGCCTAATCATACACTAGAAGGCCTTTATATACGATGGTTCTGACTATCAATTTGTTGCAGAGACTTTTATTGTGATGATTCTATGTATCCTTGACTAGTTTGGTGTTTTTTTCTGTTGTATGATGTTTGTTTGCGCGCTTAACCTTAATTTGTGACTTATAATAAGATATTGGTTGCTCAGGGGGAATTCTTCTGATGACTGAGGTTAGTTCAACTACTGATCCAACAAAACGAAAAGGTAAGTTGTGTGGTTCGTTTATGTTCTCTAAAACTTACAAATGTCTTTTTCTTTACGCACAATTTACTTTTACTACATACTCTATTGAGATTATTTCCATTCTGACACATCCTTTAGTGATCTAATTTTTGGGATACTCCTAGATTCTGGATATTCAAATCTAACGTAATGCATTTACTATATTCTTAAACTGCTCCATGCTAATAACTTCTGTATAATACAGTAGCGAATTTGGAGCTGGTAATTTAGCAGTTAAGACACAACCTTCACTAACGGGTCTCAGACTTAAACCACGGCTTGAGAAGCCGAATAGTTTCACTAGCTATCGCAGATAGCGATGAGGTTTTTTGTCAATATAGTCTGCATGTTTATAGTGAACAAGAACACGAGTGGAGACAATCGAATGTATTTGCCCACGAAATTACAGAATATCACTAAAATCTGAGAACCATACAGTAAATACTAAATTTGCAAAATATCAGTCCATCGTCTCATATTTCATTGTTCCTGCATTTTCTTACCAATTGTTTTCCGTTCCCGTTCCTTCCTTCTCGATCCACTAAAATACATTCTATTTTTGACTACTGTTATATACTACTTATGTAGATATAAGTAGCCCATACCACATGTTGATGATTTGTTTGTTCGAAGTCTGCAAATTTTTGCAATTCTTCCGCCGACTAACTTCACTAACACCATAAAACAAAAGTGTATATTATCAAGCTATCACGGGTATAGAGAAGTATTGATTGTATCTAAGAATTTTGCTGAAATTCTTTGTTCAAGTATATACCTTGATTTACATTTTTTCTAACACCTATTGTAATTTTTTGTTAAGTTTCACCTGCTTATTTATTTATTTTTAACCATTTTACAGTTTACACAATATCAGGAATAGCCCTGTTTATCATATCTATCCACTTTATACTGTCAGTCTTTCGAAGGAAATATCACGGCTATCCATATGGGTAAATTATGTTTTGCCTTATATAAACATTTCTTTAATAGATTATTTTTCAGATAAATATTACCGACAACATGGACGTGTGATAACTATGCTTATTTGTTTCATTTTTTTAATTATTTTAACGAAGAACCTTTTTTGTATTGTATGTTATGCATAGTCATATATCATTTGGAATAAAAGTGTTATTATTTTGCGTGTACAGGAATCACAGTGTTTACTGCCTTTTATAAGGTCAGTGTTCTTAAGATGCTTTTGGATAAACCTGGCTTCAATGGTGTGATGTTTTTAAGCTATCTATTAGTCGATTATGAATAATTAGTATTTTGTTAAAGCTTTAATTGATTAGGATGCCTACAGAATATTATTATTATTATTATTGTTATTTAAACACGTAAACATTGGTACAAAGAGGCACCGGATACATATGCGCCACACTTCATCATCCGATTTGTGTTAGAGCTGGGATACTGCCCGGGCTCCCAAACTGAAGCAGGTGATTTTCTTAGGGGGCTAAGCCCTGACCCTTTCACTTGGGGGTCCAATCCAGAAGGCAATGAAGCAACACTAGGAGATTCATTCCCGTTGTAGCCAGTGGCCATCAGTAGGTTCATATGCCATTTGTTCCTTCAGGATCCAGGACCCTATGTGCACCATTGGTTTTAAAGCAGGTTTTTCCAACTCCCCTTGGTGGACCCTTTGTATCCACCAACCCTGTTAAAGCGCCGGACATTCGCTTTTTGACCGCTCAATCTCATAAACAACACCCCCTGCACAAGAATTGACCTACAGAATATTATGTGGTCTTAAAGATGAGCTCCTTTTATATCCAAGACTCTAATAATGTTTATGTTTATGAAATGATAATAGTTGGAAGACATTAATAAATGAATGTCTGGAATATCCTAATCTTTACTACTGATAGTAACTTAGCGAGATAATGATACTGAACATAGTTGACATGTTGGTCAAAACTTTATTTCGTCGTCAGATAGTTCATATAGACTAGAAATTTCAAAGGGTTTTAGCCGCTGTATCCGTTTCTTACTGATTAGCGTAATGTATCGATTATGATCTCTGAAGTATGTAAAGCTGCTCACAAATTCAACTAGCTTTTCGGATAGAAATCGACTACAAATCTTAGGTTTTATTATTTTTTTTATCTGGAGAACCATTTATTTTCGAACACGGGTTTATCCTGATGTGGTTACGTACAAAATGTGATTAGTTTAGCGCCTTTCAAAGAAATTGATCTAGCAATAGTCTCCAAATCAGCAGTCAATGGATATTTTAATATTTCCTCAATGGGAATTAACACTACTTGCAAACTGCTATCACAGATAGTGACTATTACATTTCACCTTGCTAGATTATGTGATATAGCTATTTCGTAGTGCCGTAAATCGTATAGGCGTGAGTTCGTGATTAAAGACAATGAAACGAAAGCCTTGAACCTGGGTTTCGTACTAGTTGGTATTTGCCAGCCACTAGCATTTAAAATCTTATGGGTTACGTAGACTAGTTACCGCATTGTAACTCCATTAGTAGGATTCGGTATTCACTAAGAGCTAATAAATTACTCGGTGATCAACTATGGCATACTTAGGGCTTGAGTGGGTGTACATTTCGAGGATCTCCAAAATGTAGATTAACGGTGCTAATTCTTTATGCTGTAAAAGATCACTTCAACGTTATAAAACTTCTAGATGAAAAAGATGTTTACAACAACACGTAAAGTTGATTTAATGGCATAAAATTGCGTCTGAAATGAGCGAAACATATCATAGAGTTATATTTTTATGATTTGTCACTGACTGATAGCTAAAAGACTAGAAGAGTGACAAATAGGGATGTGAACTTATCTACACTTTTTGTGTATTGATAAATTACGAAAACGTCACTAAAAGTTTTTCACTTTAAAGATTCATTCTTTGAAATAAATATACAGAGATTTGAGGAACTAGGGATATTACCTAGTACAACGGTCAGATGATAATGTTTTGATTTTAAGAATATTCTATTCTGAGGTACAACATGCACTCGTAGAGATACATAGTTTTAAGATGAAACAACGCAGGAGTTTTATTTGCGTAGGATTGTCTAACATCGATCTGTGGTGAAAACCACCTTTACTGATGAAACTAGTTTTCTTCAGTCTTACAACTGATTAGAGAAAAGGTTACTTGGTTAGATCATAGTAAAACAATAAACATTTTAATGGGAGGTCCTAACATAACACTTTGTGTGCGAAAATAAAACGTGTTGAAATGCAGGACGAAATCCTGTGAAGAGTTTGTCATTATCATATGAAGGTGGCTTTTTCCATAATCAATATCTGTTAGTGAACCACTAAAAATTTAAGACCATTGGACGTCTCTTGCACCCTCGTGTTTGACCCGACGTTAATTAAAACGAGATCAAACCTAGGGTTTTCGAGCCTGGTAACTAGCACAATAATTGTAGATCACTTAGTTTGAATTCAGTGGTGTATAATTTCAACCTTAACCAGTTTACTATGTAACCCGATTATCATCTAACTCTCCCGAACATGTTTGGAGCCCATTTGTCACGATTTCCACTAAAACTTCCTTCTGGTAGCTGATCGCCAATGAGCACGTTATAGATTGCTCAAAATGGATAATATAAGTACGTAAAAGAAACAAGATATTGGTTTACTAGTACATTAGTCCAAGTTATTGGTTGATGAGATGCTTGATTTCGATTATTAATTACCCCCCTAGTATCTTGGGATAACGGTATCGTTGGATAGACGAAGTGTGTGACAATAACTAGTCTCGTAATTTACTACAATCCGATCATTTATTTCAGTCGGTCAGTCAGTATCTGTTAAATAAAACTTGGTCATTCAATCAGCGTAGTCTTTATTGTTTGGTTTGTCAAAATCAGCTTATCATCACGTGGTCTTCGGGGGTACAACAAGTCAGTCAGTAACAACGTGAAACTTCGTACGTACGTACATCAGTTCGAGTTGCCATGCCGCATTAGCACAGAGATGCAGTTATCTATTCAAATCCCGTAGTGGTAGATGTAGTATAAGCAGTAATCGGAAAGATTAGGGTTTGAAGATGTTATTCAAGGAGTATAATACAGTTAAATAAACCTGGAAAGAGAAAAAAAGGGACATGAAGAATTCAGAAGATTAGAATTTGGGAGAACACAAAGAGTAGATGCAAACGATTTTGAGCCACGTCATTCAGGGTCTCTAACCATCGGTTGCTATCGTCTCGCGTGTCCCAACCAGGTCAGTCAGTTACAATGTAGGACCAGGCACATATATGCATCGGTCCAAGTTGCCATACCTCATTAACACAACAGAATAAACACCGGATTCATAAAAGTAGTTAATTCAGTTGTGGTAATATATAAAAGAAAGATAGCATATAATGATGTAGTACCATAAGAAAGAATTACTACGTAGAAAGAAATATATGGAGCGGTTTTAATCTCTTAGTTTAAGGGAAGACAGAGAGTGTATACACCTACGCCATTGTGATCGATTCTGAGCCATGTCACCAAGTCTCCAACCATTGGTTACGATAGTCACACGGACCTCAACCAAGTAGTCTGCATCTACCAACATGGCTCAGACAAGAAGTTAGTGACTTCAAGTACTAATGCCACGTTTTGGTTTGGCCGCCCCTAACTTTCTTCCAACCATCCCCAACATCAGCTGGCATTGGGCGTCGTGGTAATCGGTGTTCAGGCATACGCAACGCGTGGCCCAACCATCTCAGTCGATGAAGATTCACAACCTCATCAACTGATTTACCATCATTCCCTAATACCTTGTGTCTAACCTCACTATTACTTACCCGGTGATCCCAGCAGACGCCAGCAATATTTCTAAGGCATCTGTGGTCAAATATTAGTAGCTTACAAATATCTTCCCTTAATGGCCACGTTTCGTATCTGTAAAGTAAAACAGAACAAACTGCCGTGCAGTATACTCGTCCTTTTATTGATAGACGGATATCTCGCCTTTGTCATAGGTGACGTAAGTTGGCAAAAGCCAAACGAGCTTTTCGAATCCGTGCTGAGATTTCGTCAGACACCGACCCATTAGGGCTGATCAGACTTCCAAGATAAGTGAAGTTGTCAACGCGTCCGACAACTTCACTCCCTATCCTTAGTTCAGGTGTTGACGAAGTTCAGTCCTGAGGCAATAACTTGCATTTAGAAGGAGAGAAGCGCATTCCAAACATTCTGGCATTGTTGCTTAGTGTTAACAAAGGACTGCATTTTATCAGCGTCTTCACTAAACAGGAATATGTCATCTGCGTATTCTAAGTCGATAAGTGGACCTCCTGGGAGGAGAATAATGCCCGAGAATTCAGTCGACGAGAGCGTTATTTCCATCAATAGGTCTATGATGAAGTTAAACAGAAATGAAGAAAGTGGACAGCCTTGATGGACACCACTTGAGGTTGCAAAAGCAGATGACAGTTCACCATAAGCTCTGACTCGACTAGTAGTGTTCGAGTAAAGAGCCTTCACAAGGTTTATGTACTTCTGAGGTATGCCTTTCAATGACAGACTGTCACAGAATCTCGCGGTCTACGGAGTCAAATGCTGCTTTTAAGTCAAGAAAGACCACCATTGTCGGCCGCCAATAGGTATGCCTATGTTCTAGAACCTGACGAATGGTGAATCTGTGGCCGATGCAGCCACGACCAGTTCTGAAGCCAGCTTGATTCTCTCGTGTTTGCAGTTCACGAGTCTTAGTTAGTCGTCCGATAATTATCGAGGCTAGTATTTCAGATACTATATCAGTTAAACTAATCCCTCTATGGTTGTCACAGGATGACTCTGACCCTCTCTTATATATTGGGACAATAAGTGATTGTGACCAGTCAGATGGGACAACGTCCAACTCCCAGATTTTAGCTAAAATATTAGTCTACCTAATCGCTAGAACTGGGTCACAATACTTAAAGACTTCTGGAGCCAATCCATCTGGACCAGCTGCCCTTCCTCGTTTCAGATTAACTATAGCCTTTTGGACTTCAGCTAGAGTTGGGGGAGCTACTTCAATGTTCCAT